AACCGAGCCAGAACTGGGACAGAACCGAGCCAGTACCAGGCTAGAACAGAGCCAGAACTGGGACAGAACCAGGCTAGAACCGGGACAGAACCAGGCTAGAACCGAGCCAGAACCAGGCTAGAACCGAACCAGAACCAGGCTAGAACCGAGCCAGAACTGGGACAGAACCAGGCTAGAACCGAGCCAGAACTGGGACAGAACCGAGCCAGAACTGGAACAGAACCATGCTAGAACCGAGCCAGAACCGGGCTGGATCCAAGCCAGAACTGGGACAGAACCGGGCTAGAACCGAGCCAGAACAGAGCCAGAACTGGACCAGAACCTGGCGTCAGGGCCTGGACCCCCCCCTCTCCTCTCAGGCTGGTTCCCTGGTGAATGGCGGCCCTCTGGGGGTCGCTGTAGACGAGCAGCTTCCCGTGCAGCGTGGCGTCAGACGGGGCGTAGATGTCCAGCCCTCTGTGGACCCGCCGTCCCTGAAAGCAGCGGGCCAAGGTCAGGTGAAGGTGAAGGTCAGGCCAAGGTCAGGCTCTGGGGAAGGTCAGATGAAGATGAATGTAATGCCAAGGTCAGAACAATGTCATGCCAAGGTAATTTCAAGGTTAGATCCAAAAAGTCAAGGTCATTCACAAGTCAAGGTCAGATTAAAAAAAAAAAGTAATGTCAAGGTTGGACTAAGGTGAAGGTCAGACTTGTGCTGAGTTGTTGGACTCTTACCGGCTGGCTCCATAGTGTCCCTGCATGTGGATGTCTGTCGTCCTGTTGTCGGGGTTCCCTTCACACAGCTGCAGAACTCCACAGCGCCGCTCATGCCTAGAACAGCTGCAGACACACAAAAGGTTGGTACCGACCTACATACTCAACATCACTCCTCTGGAACAGCATCTCCCTCCCCTCATCCATTAGGGGGGGGAGGTCCTCTCCACCTGGACAGCCTTCATCACCTGGAAAATGAAAAATGTAAGGAGGTCAGGACCTGACTCCTTTGCTAATTCAACTAAAAAGTGATGAACCCACCTCACAGGCTGCCCAGGTAGGAGCCACACCTCCATCGTGAGAAGAAGGGTGAGTTACCCTCGCTTTAAATTACTCCTTTAGATTTCATTTGCCCTATTCCTCCTTTTTATTTCCCCTAACCACTGTCAATGGACCAATAGGACACTTTTACAGTGACTCGGACCCAGCGATTCCTTTCCTCCTACCTCTTTTTCCCTCACTGTCATGTCCAGACCTGGAGGGGGGCTCTCTCTCCCTGGGCCCCCGGACTGCATCCCCTGATTGGGGACATGGAGCCAGCTGATGGTGATGGAAGCAGAAACCCGGTCCCCGTCCCCTGACGTGTCCCAGCAGCTGCTTACGTGGAGTTAAGCCTGGCATCCTGAAGACTGCCCCCCCCACAGGCAGAGAGCGGCTCCACAGAAGGATCTCCTCTGCAATTTCAATTTTCTGTGAGGAAGCCATCCGCCTGAGGAAGATCCCGTAGAGGGATCGAAACGTTGCTGTGTTTTAGCTCGCTATTTCAATTTGTTTAATTAATTTATTTGTTTAAATAAAAAGTACTTCTTTTTTTATGTCGTGGGTTCTCTGAATTAATGTTTTAGCACGAGTACGGAAGATTTCTCTTTTTCACAAAAGTTTTAAACATCTTTTATCAAAACAATAACTATTAGCATGACAACTTACGTGATGGAGGATGAACGGGACCGGCACTGGACTGCAGTGCCGTAGCGGAGAGGACAGAGGACTCCTTTCCCAGAGCGGCCGTCCAGCACCTGTTCCCTCTGATGGACAACACCAGGGTAGAGCCAAGGTTCAGTCCAGAATTCTTTCATTTAGAAGGAATTATAGGGATCGATCCCTAACCCTAACAGTTGGAAGAGCCTGTATGTGCGGTGAGAACCAATTTACGACACAAAGCCATCTATATTCCTAAGATTAATTTCTCATCCCTCCTCACACGACAACAGAAACATATTTTAACATCTTTAAATAATTTTATAGTGAATAACTAAGATTTTATCCCAGTTTTACCTACTATCGTTTTGAAAACCAGGGTGGCACGCCACCACCGGACCCACGCCACTGCCACACGCACGCTGGAGCACTGGAGACGCCAGGTAAACTAGAGGCAAGCCACACAGAGCAGGAGGGCTTCAAAAACATACAGGTATTAGCAAAGAAGACCATTTTAAATAAGGGACTTTACTCATTTCTGATTAGTAACAAGTGGTCCATTTTTACATAGAATAAAATATGTAAAAATACACCTACCCATGTTTATTAATCATGTGAGCCACTACTATGTTCACCATCTGTTTTCTTGTGTCATCACTTGGGTTTCTGTTTTATACTCCTGCAGAACTTCTTCACCACCAGACTTGCTTTGAAGGACACCTTCAACCTGCTATGAAATGAACAGAAAGGAAATGTATGGCGATATTCAGATTACCAAGATATGTCACAACAGGGTGACAGAGTTAAGAGGTGCAGAAAACATATTACCATTTTGGCAGACACTGCCACTGTCAAAGTTGATGCAGTTGAGCTGAAGCTTGGGTCAGACTTTGAAGCACATGACCATTCAGAG